GATGAGAAACACTGGAGAGTGATGAGAAAAAAAGAGAAACACAGGAGAGCAATGAGAAAGAGATGAGAAACACAAGAAAGTGATGAGAAAGAGATGAGAAACACTGGAGAATGATTAGGAAAAAATAAGAAACACCAGAAAGTAGTGAGAACAAGATAAGGAACACCAGAAAGTGATGAGAAAGAGATGTGAAACACTGGAGAATGATGAGGAAAAAATGAGAAACACCAGAAAGTGATGAAAAAGAGATGAGTAAAACTCCAGAGAGCGATGAGAAAGAGATGAGAAACACAAGAGAGCAATGAAAACAAGATGAGAAAAACCACAGAGTGATGAGAACAAGATGAGAAAAACCAGAGAGTGATGAGAAAGAAATTAAAAACACCAGAAAACAATGAGAAAGAGATGAGAAACACCACAGAGCAATGAGAAAAAGTAGAGAAACACCAGAGAATGTCAAGAACAAGATAAGAAACACCAGAAAGTGATGAGAAAGAGATGAGAAACACTGGAGAGTGTCAAGAACAAACTAAGGAACACCAGAAAGTGATGAGAAAGAACTGAGAAACACTGGAGAGAGATGAGAACAAGATAAGAAAAACTCCAGAGAGAGATGAGAAAGAGATGAGAAACAGCAGAGAGTGTCAAGAACAAGATAAGAAACACAAGAAAGTGATGAGAAAGAGATGAGAAACACTGGAGAATGATTAGGAAAAAATAAGAAACACCAGAAAGTAGTGAGAACAAGATAAGGAACACCAGAAAGTGATGAGAAAGAGATGTGAAACACTGGAGAATGATGAGGAAAAAATGAGAAACACCAGAAAGTGATGAAAAAGAGATGAGTAAAACTCCAGAGAGCGATGAGAAAGAGATGAGAAACACAAGAGAGCAATGAAAACAAGATGAGAAAAACCACAGAGTGATGAGAACAAGATGAGAAAAACCAGAGAGTGATGAGAAAGAAATTAAAAACACCAGAAAACAATGAGAAAGAGATGAGAAACACCACAGAGCAATGAGAAAAAGTAGAGAAACACCAGAGAATGTCAAGAACAAGATAAGAAACACCAGAAAGTGATGAGAAAGAGATGAGAAACACTGGAGAGTGTCAAGAACAAACTAAGGAACACCAGAAAGTGATGAGAAAGAACTGAGAAACACTGGAGAGAGATGAGAACAAGATAAGAAAAACTCCAGAGAGAGATGAGAAAGAGATGAGATACAGCAGAGAGTGTCAAGAACAAGATAAGGAACACCAGAAAGTGATGAGAAAGAGATGAGAAACACTGGAGAGTGATGAGAAAGAGATGAGAAACACTGGAGAGTGATGGGAAAAAAGAGAAACACAGGAGAGCAATGAGAAAGAGATGAGAAACACTGGAGAGTGATCAGAAAAAAAGAGAGACACAGGAGAGCAATGAGAAAGAACTGAAAAACACTGGAGAGAGATGAGAAAGAGATGAGATACAGCAGAGAGTGTCAAGAACAAGATAAGGAACACCAGAAAGTGATGAGAAAGAGATGAGAAACACTGGAGAGTGATGAGAAAGAGATGAGAAACACTGGAGAGTGATGGGAAAAAAGAGAAACACAGGAGAGCAATGAGAAAGAGATGAGAAACACAAGAAAGTGATGAGAAAGAGATGAGAAACACTGGAGAGTGATGAGAAAAAAAGAGAAACACAGGAGAGCAATGAGAAAGAGATGAGAAACACAAGAAAGTGATGAGAAAGAGATAAGAAACACTGGAGAGTGATGAGAAAAAAAGAGAAACACTGGAGAGCAATGAGAAAGAACTGAGAAACACTGGAGAGAGATGAGAAAGAGATGAGATACAGCAGAGAGTGTCAAGAACAAGATAAGGAACACCAGAAAGTAATGAGAAAGAGATGAGAAACACTGGAGAGTGATGAGGAAAAAATGAGAAACACCAGAGAGCAATGAGAACAAGATAAGAAAAACTCCAGAGAGCGATGAAAAAGAGATGAGAAACAGCAGAGAGTGTCAAGAACAAGATAAGAAACACAAGAAAGTGATGAGAAAGAGATGAGAAACACTGGAGAGTGATGAGGAAAAAATGAGAAACACCAGAGAGCAATGAGAACAAGATAAGAAAAACTCCAGAGAGCGATGAAAAAGAGATGAGAAACAGCAGAGAGTGTCAAGAACAAGATAAGAAACACAAGAAAGTGATGAGAAAGAGATGAGAAACACTGGAGAGTGATGAGGAAAAAATGAGAAACACCAGAGAGCAATGAGAACAAGATAAGAAAAACTCCAGAGAGCGATGAGAAACACCAGAGAGTGATGAAAAAGAGATGAGAAACAGCAGAGAGTGTCAAGAACAAGATAAGAAACACAAGAAAGTGATGAGAAAGAGATGAGAAACACTGGAGAGTGATGAGAAAAAAAGAGAAACACAGGAGAGCAATGAGAAAGAGATGAGAAACACAAGAAAGTGATGAGAAAGAGATAAGAAACACTGGAGAGTGATGAGAAAAAAAGAGAAACACAGGAGAGCAATGAGAAAGAGATGAGAAACACTGGAGAGTGATGAGAAAAAGATTAAAAACACCAGAGAGGAGTAAGAACAAGATAAGAAAAACTCCAGAGAGCGATGAGAAACACCAGAGAGTGATGAAAAAGAGATGAGAAACAGCAGAGAGTGTCAAGAACAAGATAAGAAACACTAGAAAGTGATGAGAAAGAGATGAGAAACACTGGAGAGTGATGAGAAACAGATTAAAAACACCAGAGAGGAGTAAGAACAAGATAAGAAAAACTCCAGAGAGCGATGAGAAGAAGATGAGAAACACTGAGAAACACCAGGGAGTGATGAGAAAACCACAGAGGAAGATGATTTAGCCATGTTTGACGTGTAGTGTGCTGACCAAAACCAAAGAAAGAAAAAAATAAAGAAGGAAATCAACAAATAGAAGAAGAGGAACGAGGGGAGGAAACCCTACTGTGTCACATGATCTCTTGCTCCTTTATCCAACCCATGAAAGAAAGAACTTATCAACAAATGAAATTAACTAATGATTCTGTCATTTCCCAGCATTCCCCTCACTGCAAACCTTTCAAGAGGGATGAGAAGAGGAGAGCAGAGCGGTCCATAGGATCTCACCGTATTGTGAGTTGTTGAAGGTTCCAGCGAGGGTCTTACATGAAGAGTTGTCTCCTCCACAGACGCCACACTTATCATTTCTGGCCTTCGAGTTCAAAACATGGTCACAACCTGCTTGCTATGATAAACACATACAATAAGAATGTCAGTTTCCATTTGCACCACAGATGTACCATGGGTACATACCATGGTATTACTATGTTTATTTTAGACATATACCATGGTAACTTGATGGGTTTTGGATAAACGCCATGGTAGTACCACGTTGTTCTTTGAAGTACCATTGTATATGAATACAGTAATCACCCAGTACCGTAATACATTTCAAAGTACCAGAGTATTATCATTTTTAGAAGCCCTTTCATACCCTGCAGAGGCCTTGTACACAGATATCATACGTGTCCGGTCCACACGGGGTCCCGTCGACGACCCGATCCCTCAGCTGATAGTACGCCATCGTCCCCGCGACACGACAGAAGAGTTTACAGCGATCCTTCATCAGAACTGAGAAACAAGAGAGATGAGTAGGAGAGTTTTTGGCATTATTTTACCATTATTTTGTTGATTCTGTGCACTATAGCAGTCAAAAGTTTGGGGTCAGTAAGATTTTTGTTTTATAATAACAAGAAAGGAATTAGTGATGAGAAAGAGATGAAAAACACCAAAGTGTGATGAGAAAGATATGAGAAACACCAGAGGACAATGAAAAACAGTTGAGCTACAGGGTCCATGTACGTTTTGATAGTTTGTTTTTCAAATTTAAATGAAATAAGCAGAAACGAGAAAATGGCACCTTTATTCGTTTTTTCGTTTATTAAAAAACCCCCCAAAAAAACAAGATTTCGGCTCAATTTTTCGATTTTTGTTTCATGGGTAGAAAAGGATAAACGACTTCAAAATTAGTTTTCCCCATGTTGTTCAGTTGTTCCTCAGTTCTGTTAAACAAATTAATACTCCTTTGCTGCTATAGTACTTAAACTGTACACAGGTCCTAGACTGGGATTTCTTCTGTGCAACCTAACGCGTTTCAAGTTTATTTCAGAAATATTAATCTGAACCCAGCCTGTGTGCCGAGTTAAATCTGAGCGGTGAAGCTGCGTTTCCACAGATCAGTGTTCAGTCAAGTGTAAATACGAAGCAGTCGTAACTTTTCTTTTAGTAACTTCGTTCTAAAAAGTCGCAACTTTTAACTTTTCAGTTTTGGACAATGGATAGTCATTGCAAATACTGTATTGCAAATCAGCCGAGGGTATACACCAAGGATGACGATTTAAATTTTTACTGTACTGTAACCATAGACGCGGGCGGGAACGTTTAGTTTTGCCAGGATTTAAGTTATGAGTGTGCACAGAAAAGTAAAATGTTGATAAATAACTAGATAATAAATAACTAACTCTCGGTGTTACACGGTGTTCGGCCATCCACCGATTGCATTACCACCGCTCCACTGTCGTTTTGCATTTTTATAGAAATAACAATATCAGTGTAGTTCAGCTGGACAGCAGACAAGCGTCCGCTTCATAGTGAGTGAGTTTGCCTTTGTTTTATATTCTTGTTGTGTTTTCAATAAAGTGATAATGAACAACAAAACCAGCGTTCGTTTTATCGGGGAAAATCCAAATACCTTAAATATAATGCAGATATTTGTGTCTTATTCATTTTTTTTATAAAAGTTTGGTTAATATAAGCGCGTTTTATTGTACTATTTTTGTTGTTGTTGTGTTTTCATTAAATTAACAATGAACCAAAAACTATATTCATTTTAAAGTAAGGGGAAAATCCATTTAGAGTCCTATAGGATCCGTCTTACTCGTTTTGTTAATAACGAATAATGTTAATATTTTTTTTTTACAAAGAATGTGGTAAGATCAAACATTAAAGATCAAAATAAGTGTGCTAATAGATGCTGATACTGTTGAGCACATAATGTTAAAGGCTTCTTAACATAGGCTACCATTACACTCGGTTGGAGAGTCAAGAAGGATGTTTTGTTAATGAAGATTACAAACTGTCCAGTGTAAATATACTGTATAATACATCATCATAACATATAATCACATAAACACGTCGTATGCCTATAGCCAAAACATGACAGTTTTTGTTTGAACATGTATTTTAACACTACCCGTATGTTTTTTTTCCCCTGGGCTTACAGTAGGCCTAGGTGACCCTGATTCTACAGTTTGCTGCAATCGGTGGATGGCCGAATTCTGTGTAACACTGACTACTGACTACGTTTAAACATATAATTTAATAATTTTCACACTTTAAAGAAATGCCTTTGCTTATTGCCATTACTATGGCAGCCAACAACAGCACAGCAACCTTGCGCACATTTTTATACTTGGTTACATTGAAAAAGTTTCAATTCAGTCGATCTTTTTCACCCCATTTTAACATGGATTTCTATGGAGCTGTAGCTGTCTGGCAAGATGGCAGATAGCAGCGGCGGCACATAATATCCGCGTTCTGATTGGTCAGATCTCCTGTCAATCATGCTCGGTCCATTGTTCTTAAAGGGGTCATATGATGCGATTTCAAGTGTTCCTTTCGAAAACGAAGCGTTTGAGAGAGGCGGGGCATAGAGGACCTACAATAATGTACAGTATTTGAAAAATAATGTGTTTTTTGAACATTAAAGCATGTCAACATATTCTGTTACACCAAATACACAAAATAATGATCTTTAAAAAAGCATCATATGACCCCTTTAAAGTATCAAGAGATTAATTTTTTTGCTATTGCAGCAGTTAGAGATCCATCCATGCTGGATATATAGGTCCTGGCCGCTAAAGACCCGAATATGTAATAATGATTGGTGAAACATTCATGCATTTAAGGGTTAACAGAACTGAGGAACGACTTTGGTTGACCAATCGGCAGAAAGGGGCGTTTCATGACCGCTCACATGGGGAAAACGAATTTTGAAGTCGTTTATCCGTTTTCTCCCCGTGAAACAAAAAAAAAAAATTGAGCCGAAATCTTCTTTTTCTTTTTTTTTTTTGGAATAAACGAAAAAAAAAAATAAAAGAATAAAGGCGCCGTTTTCTCATTTCTGCGTATTTCATTTTAAATTGAAAAACTTACTATCAAAACGTACACGGACCCTACAGTCACAGGTCTAAAAAATGTACTCGAATTAGCAGCTTTCTTGAGATATTCACTCATATTCACTCTCCACCCTCTATAAACATGTCAGAGCAGCAGAGAGGGTTTCTGATCGGCTAATGAAGTGCAAAGTCATTCTGAAGTCAGAGAGCGATGTGATTTCTCCATTTCATCTGTCAGCGAGTAACTACAGCATTCACTTCAGATAAAAGCATCTGCCAGAAGCATGAATGCTGTCTGTGTGCTATTCATCAGTGTTTGACGAGCTCAGCAGATTTATTATGAAGCACGGCTCCTCCATCAGCCGCTAGAAAACCATTACAACAATAGCTGCAGCAAGTGTTGCCAACTCATTTTCAGAGAAAGTCGCTAAAGGAAGGTCGATTTGTTGCTAAAAGTTGCTAAATGACGTTCATCAATCACAACGCAAAATTGTGTCACAACATCAAATCTCAGCTAAAAATATATTTTATATACGTTAATTTAGATTTGTTTGTAAAATATCATGCATAATACAATATTATAAATAATATAAATTGCTGTATTTTTAAATAAATTGAATTATTGAACTCTTACACATTTTTGAATGATTACAATTTAAGTTTTTTTTTAATAGCTAGTAAACTAGTAATATAACACATTCTCAACAATTATGCTTTAAGCAGTGTATTAGTAGTTAGTTAGTATGCTACACTCTAAGAAGAGTCTGTAAAATTAGGGCACAATCTACTATGTTAATATGAAAATTTTCCGTATTGATTTTTTACCTGCATTTTAAATTATGCATTGTGTTTTCAGGTTACAGGGTTACAATGGATAATGTCCTGGAAAATTACTAGTATCTTTTGCCTATTTTCTTACTGTGTACTAATTGATCAACAAATCGCAGGTACAAGAAGCTACTGACAAAGTGTATCATAAATGAACAATGATTCAATGATTATTATTATTATTAAATTGAACAACTGCAAATAGCAGCTAACACAATTCACGTGATGTGTGTACTGCTAGGCATCTTTGGTTTCCTCTTTTTGTGTAATTTGGATGAAAATGTGTGCCTTTTTATTGTCTGAGCCACTTATCAAAAGTAAAAAAATTAGCAAAATTTGTTGCTAGGCGCTTTTGGAAGAAAAAAAAATGTGTGCCTTTTTATTGTCTGAGCCACTTATCAAAAGTAAAAAAATTAGCTAAATTTGTTGCTAGGCGCTTTTGGAAGAAAAAATTGCTAGGGTAGTCTGAAAAGTTGCTACATTTAGCAACAAAATTGCTAAGTTGGCAACACTGACAACAAGAGCCAAATCTGTTGGGACTTCCCAAATGTCTGCTACAGCTGGACTTGCCTAAATAAACATTTCTCTGGTGTTACAACACGGTTCTTTTGTAATTAACGCATTGCTAAAGCAAATAGATCTTTATAAAACATTGCTGTATTGTATTAAAGGAAGCATCAAACAACATACTTTAACCCAGTGGTTGCCAAACTTTGTTTTCCAGGGGACCCCTATTTTAGCATTCAAATATTTAAATCTTTTTTTTTTTACCTTTACCTTCTCATTGATTTTTTTTAATAAACTTTTTTTTTTTTGATGTTACCAACAACGTTTATAACATTGGCAATATAAAGTATTTCTTCCCAAACGTGTGTGTGTGTGTGTGTGTGTGTGTGTGTGTGTGTGTGATGGGTCAGAGGTCAAACACACTCACTGCCGCTGTACTTGGGCACCCAGCGGACGGAGGGCGGCAGTCCGTTGATGTTGAAGTGTTTCCCGTCGAACTGCGCGCACTGCTCTTCCCTGAAATCCCTCCGGCCACGGGGACACGGATCCGTGTTACACGAGCGGAACTTCATTCTGCGGCCCACACAAAACCGGCCCCCGTTCCTCGGCCTGAGAACCAGAAAGATATCTGTGCTGTCACACACTGAAAGCCTTTTGATAGGAATAAATTATTTAATACGAAAATTCACCAATTCAATGCAATTGGGCACATTTACAGAAAGTCAAACTTCTTAATTACTTAAAAACTTCTTAACTAAATTAAAATAATAATAATAATATTATTTTGTATAAAAAAATGTATTCTCTTTTTAGGGCCATTAAGATCATAGTTCACTCCAAAGCCTATTTCATTTTTATATACTATTAATGACATGATGGGGTGAATAAATATCATGTTGAATCATATGTACAATAACAAAGAAACAATGTGTATAAAGGAAATGAATGGAGATTATATTTCACTATAAAATTAAAACAAAATTTCTATATATATATATATATATTCACCTTAAAAAAAAGCATATTTTATATTTTATAATTACCATATTGTATAACTAAATAAGAAATAAAGAACAAAAGATTATGCGCTTACTCGGGTTTATTGCAGTCTCTGGTTGTGCTGCGTGTTCCTCCTCCACAGGTCCTGGAACAAACACTGTAGGGGCCCCAGGGGCCCCATTCACCATGAACCGGCTTCATGTCCATCTCCTTATTCACACACATGCCGTGCCTGCAGTGCTAAAAACACACAGACACATTATATCAGAAATGACATTATCAGGTGTCCAGAAATTAACTGTCCACAAACAATGGTTTTAAAAACTTTAAAAAATGTAATTAAACACACACTCACACACACGGGCCGAGCGTTTTGATTGGACGAACATTTCTTGATCCTACGCCTTCCACAGAATATATAAATACCGATAAATACATTTAGACCACTTAACTTAATGATTGCTATCGGGATGTGATAGAGAGACTTTCACCCAGCATAACAAAAAACGTTTCTCAAGACAATCACCTATTGCACCTTTAATACTCGCTCATTACAGTAATATCTGACAGTGCACATGCTCTGTGTTTGGCGTCATCAGACAGACAGAGAGCCGCTGGCAGTAACCGAACCCTCGCAGAGGAGCGCTGGCTGGAATGCAGGACAGGCTGGCGTCGGTCTCGCACACACGCACCAGACGCGATAACTAAACCTGAGCGCACAGATAAGAGCGACAGAGCTCATTACAGTCTCGCAGCGCTGCTTCCTCTCCTCCCACAGTCACATCTCTACTGCCAAAGCCCTTCCTGCTTTCCTTCATCACATCAATCCTCACAGATCATAAGCAGCACAGGTATATTTGTAGCAATAGCCAACAATACATTCTATGGGTCAAAATTATAAATTTTTCTTTTATGCCAAAAATCATTAGGATATTAAGTAAAGATCATGTTCCATGAAGACATTTCCTACCGTAAATATATCAGAACTTAATGTTTGATTAGTAATATGCATTGCTAAGAACTTCATTTGAACAACTTTAAAGATGATTTTCTCAATATTTAGATTTTTTTGCACCCTAAGATTCCAGATTTTCAAATAGTTGTACCTCGGCCAAATATTGTCCGATCCTAACAAACCATACATCAATGGAAAGCTATTTATTCTGCTTTCATATGATGCATAAATCTCAATTTCACAAAATTGACCCTCATGACTGGTTTTGTGGTGCAGGGTCACAATATGTCATGGTATGGTACTACAAGGTACTTTCAAAACTACAATGACACACTTTGTGCTAAAAAACATATCATGTGTGTGTGTGATTTTTGCAAGAGAAAAAACTACGGCACACTGCAAAACAATTTCTAACTGCCTTCAGTTTTTAAAGTATAATCAACCTGGTTGTACAAGTCATTTTAACTTGCAAATAAGATGAATTATATAAAAAGTGGCAAAAGTGCAAAAACATGGTACCACAATAGTAAATGTCCCAAAAAAATGGACTATGGACAAAAAAAAAAAACTTGAATTTACAATAGTAGGTGTTGAAAAATCACGCTATTAACACAGTAAATGAAAATAGTTAAATACATAAATTATTTATAAATTATTTATAAAGATGATTTTATAAATCTCCCCCTCTATATAAATGTATAAATATTAAAATAAGTTTTTAAAAATATTTAAATATCTAAATATTTTTTATTTTATATATATTTATATTTATACATATATGTATATATATTTATTTATTTATTTTTTATTATTACATTTTTTTTTATTATTAAACCTATCTACCTTGAACACATGCCATGGTAGCATCATGGTATTCTCTGAAGTATCTACAAGGAAAATGCCAAATACTGTACGTAGTACATGCATATGGCAATCAATTAGAATATAAATATAGTGATCATCACAGTATTACCATGGGATACCGTACATCCCTGTACCGTGGTACACAGTATCTGTGTCTCCTCTCAGTAACACAGTAATCTGGCTCTAAACAGGAAGCATAATTAGAGTGAGAATAACAGAGATCCGGTGACTGCTGCATTCATTCATTCATTCATTCATTCATAACTCTGTGTGTGATATTCATCTCTGACTGCAGGCTTCCTCTTTCCTCTGATAAAAGCCACGTCACACAAGAGCGTCCAGCAGGAATCCACAACAGAGCCATTACACACGAGTCTGACTGAAGCAGCACACCTGCGTCCCGATCCGAAACCAGACTCACTGCTGCTAATGACGGACAAGCACTCAGTCCAGCGCCATACACCAGGACAGGACGGATTAAACACAGGCCTCGTCTGATCTGAACCACAGCAGACAGAGAAATGAGCTGCATCACGGCTGTATTTCAGATGTATTTCTAGATAGACAGATAGATAGACAAAATGACATATAATTTTTTTTTCATTTAAATGCATATAAAAGTTTTTATAAAACTGAATACTTTTTGAAAATCTCTCTCTCTATACAAATATTATATAAATGCATATTATATGTGTGTGTCTGTGAATTATTTATGAGTTATGTTTTTATATATTTCATATATTAGATTATATATTGTAAAACATTTCAAACTATATGATATATTATATATTATTACGAATGTAAAATAATATAGGCCTATTAATAAATACACACACACACACACACACATACAGTATATACTGTGTATAATATGTAAAATACTATACAACATGAATATGTTTATCAGTTAGAATACATGAATATGGTAATCACTACAGTATTACCATCTGATACTGTACATCACTGTACTGCTGAACAGCCACAGTATCTGATGTCTAATGTTCCATAGTTCATATTCTGACCCTGTCTGCATGAGCTCTTTTTCATCTGTTAAATCTGTGTCATGTTTCTGAAGTGTTCACAGTTAAATGTCAGAAACAGAAGGGTGAGTGGATGTGAAGATGGCAGGTCTGCTGTGATTGTGGTTTGTCTGATGAGACGTTTCTGAGAATAAGCTAAATATGGAGAGAAACGGCTTCAGCGCATTACACACGCATTTTACACTCCAAACCACAGCTAAACAAACGCAAACAAATGCAAACTGATGCTCCCAGTCACACTGCAACAGGATACCCTGCCACAGAGAGCCGCAGGGCACGAACACACACACACACACACACACACACACACACACTAACACAAACACGCTGCACAAGACTGCGCACCTGTGTGTGTGTGTGTGTGTGTGTCTGCGCGCGTGACTGAGTGTGAGTGTGTGTGTGTGTGTGCGTGTGTGTGTGTGCGTTTGAGTGTGCGTGAGAGTGTGTGTGTGTGTGTGTGTGTGTGCGTGTGAGTGTTTGCGTGTGCGTGAGTGTGTGAGAGTGAGAGTGAGAGTGTGTGTGTCGGGGTGTTTCTTCAACTCTATGTGTGGCTGCACTTAAAAGAAATGAAACACCCTCTTGAAATACACTTATAACACTTCATTTCCACCACATCTCCAACAATGAATTATACAGCTCATTTCAAATCAAGTATGTTATGCACCTTTAATACACACAATTAAATACACATTTTGCATAATTTGACAAAATTACAACGTGAATGCAATTTTAACGTTAAAAATATGTTTATGTTTTTTTTTTCCTTTTTGAGATAATCTCATATTTCACTGACAAATTTAGTACACTAACTTTGGAAAAAACTTTATTAATAACAGAATTGTCGGTTGTAGTGGAAATGACAGTTGTTTATAAAAAATGAAAAACTAAATAAACACCACAACTGAGGGACATTTGCTAAGAATTACATAAAATAAAATAAAACTAAATTAAATTAAAGTAAACACCACAAATAAGGGACAGTTGTTTAAATAAAATTAAAAATGTGTTATAAATAAAATAAAATAAAATAAAATATAACTATCAGTTGGTCACACAAGCACATAATTTGGTCACAATTTTTTTTTCTACAACATGGGATTAATCAATGCATGCTGATGAACTTTTATCATAGTCTATAGTTATATGGTAACTAAAGTGTTCAAATTTCAACCCGTTCTTTTTGTGTGTGTGTGAGAGAGAGAGAGAGAGAGAGAGAGAGTGTGTGTGTGAGTGTGTGTGTGTAAGAGAGAGAGAGGGTGTGTGTGTGTGTGTATGTGTGTGTATGTGTGTAAGAGAGAGAGAGGGTGTGTGTGTGTGTGTATGTGTGTGTATGTGTGTAAGAGAGAGAGAGGGTGTGTGTGTGTGTGTATGTGTGTGTATGTGTGTAAGAGAGAGAGAGGGTGTGTGTGTGTGTGTATGTGTGTGTATGTGTGTAAGAGAGAGAGAGGGTGTGTGTGTGTGTGTATGTGTGTGTATGTGTGTAAGAGAGAGAGAGGGTGTGTGTGTGTGTGTATGTGTGTGTATGTGTGTAAGAGAGAGAGAGGGTGTGTGTGTGTGTGTATGTGTGTGTATGTGTGTAAGAGAGAGAGAGGGTGTGTGTGTGTGTGTATGTGTGTGTATGTGTGTAAGAGAGAGAGAGGGTGTGTGTGTGTGTGTATGTGTGTGTATGTGTGTAAGAGAGAGAGAGGGTGTGTGTGTGTGTGTATGTGTGTGTATGTGTGTAAGAGAGAGAGAGGGTGTGTGTGTGTGTGTATGTGTGTGTATGTGTGTAAGAGAGAGAGAGGGTGTGTGTGTGTGTGTATGTGTGTGTATGTGTGTAAGAGAGAGAGAGGGTGTGTGTGTGTGTGTATGTGTGTGTATGTGTGTAAGAGAGAGAGAGGGTGTGTGTGTGTGTGTATGTGTGTGTATGTGTGTAAGAGAGAGAGAGGGTGTGTGTGTGTGTGTATGTGTGTGTATGTGTGTAAGAGAGAGAGAGGGTGTGTGTGTGTGTGTATGTGTGTGTATGTGTGTAAGAGAGAGAGAGGGTGTGTGTGTGTGTGTATGTGTGTGTATGTGTGTAAGAGAGAGAGAGGGTGTGTGTGTGTGTGTATGTGTGTGTATGTGTGTAAGAGAGAGAGAGGGTGTGTGTGTGTGTGTATGTGTGTGTATGTGTGTAAGAGAGAGAGAGGGTGTGTGTGTGTGTGTATGTGTGTGTATGTGTGTAAGAGAGAGAGAGGGTGTGTGTGTGTGTGTATGTGTGTGTATGTGTGTAAGAGAGAGAGAGGGTGTGTGTGTGTGTGTATGTGTGTGTATGTGTGTAAGAGAGAGAGAGGGTGTGTGTGTGTGTGTATGTGTGTTTGTGTGTGAGAGCGAGAGAGTGTGTGTGTGTGTGTGTAAGAGAG